ATTATCTCTCTCCTCCACTCCAGTGAGTACATATTTAGGGTTTTAAGGCATTCCCAGTAATTTAAGTGCTTTACTGGCTCTATGCATGCTATAAACAATATCTTTTCCATCTCTGGTATCTCTATTGCCCTGAATGCGGCTGTCAACACTGAGCAATATTCCAAATGCAAGAGCACAAGAGATCTGAAGTACCACCATTGTCACTATTTCCCTTGTTTTGAAAGTTCTCATTATCCACTCCGTCATCTTCCTAGCTGTCGTGACATTGGTCTTATTGAGTTCTTTGAAAGAAAGGTCAGCTGAAATAATTACTCCCAGGTCTTTCATGTGTTCCTTTTGTTCTATTTGATGATCCTCTTGAGTTCTGTATACAATGCCCCTTTTGAGTTCTTCATTCTTTTCATACCTAAGCAGCTGAAATTATTACCATGAATATCATGTTCTCCACTGCCCACTGAAAAATGCTGCTTATATATTCCTGCAATTTTTTACTGTCTTTCATGCTAACTAGTGTCATCTGCAAATAATACAAAACTGTGATGGGTGTTTTATGTGTCTGCTACGAGGATAAAAAAACCAGTAGAGGTGCCAGGACAGGGCCTTGGGATACTGAGTTCTTGTTTTCCTCACTGATGCTAGATTTTACTCTGTTTACTACTATATGCATTCTTTGTGTTAGAAACCTGAAAATACATCTGCCTACCTTCCCCATTTTACCTATGGCCTTCAATTTGTGTGCAATCACCCCATGATTGCATTTATCAATTTTTTTTTTTCAACAAGTTGGCCGTCTCCCACCGAGGCAGGGTGACCCAAAAAGAAAGAAAATCCCCAAAAAAGATAATACTTTCATCATCATTCAACACTTTCACCTCACACGTAATCACTGTCTTTGCAGAGGCGCCCAGATACAACAGTTTAGAAGCATATATAACATACCCCTCCAAACTGCCAATATCCCAAACCCTTCCTTAAAAATGCAGGCATTGTACTTCCCATTTCCAGTACTCAAGCATAGTTATATAAAAATAACAGGTTTCCCTGAATCCTTTCACTAAATATTACTCTGCTCATACTCCAACAGCTCGTCAGGTCCCAAAAAACCATTCGTCTCCATTCACTATCTTACATGCTCACACATGCTTGCTGGAAGTCCAAGCCCCTCGCCCACAAAACCTCCTTTACCCCCTCCCTCCAACCTTTTCGAGGACTACCCCTACAGATTTATACTCGATCCATTCTCTCTAAATGACCAAACCACCTCAACAACCCCTCTTCAGCCCTCTGACTGGTACTTTTATTAACTCCACATCTCCTCCTAATTTCCACACTCCGAATTCTCTGCATAATATTTACACCACAAATTGCCCTTAGGACATCTCCACTGCCTCCAGCTGCCTCCTTGCTGCAGCATTTGCAACCCAAGCTTCACACCCATAAAAGAGTGTTGGTACCATTATACTTTCGTACATTCCCTTCTTTGCCTCCATGGATAACGTTTTTTGTCTCCACAGATACCTCAAAGCACCACTCGCCTTTTTCCTTCATCAATTTTATGGTTAACCTCATCTTTCATAAACCCATCCACTGACAAGTCAACTCCCAAATATCTGAAAACATTCACTTCTTCCATACTCCTCTCCAATGTGATAACCAATTTTTCTCTATCTAAATCATTTGATACCCTCATCGCGTTAGGTGACGTCATTTGTATCCAATTTTTCTCTATCTAAATCATTTGATACCCTCATCGCGTTAGGTGACGTCATTTGTTTACTGTTGAACATCGGTAAAAATCAAACATTTCCGCTACTTTGAGCTCAATTTCAATTTTTGGCCCAGCTCAGAGAGTAGATAAACTCTCGAAACTCTTCAAATGTCAAAGGTATATATATACTTTTCATCGTGAAACGAACGAATATCATCTCTATTTCTGTAATATATCTTCCATTCTATCAAATGACATGAAGAAAACGAGAATACAACCATAAATACCTTTCGAAAATACACCTCAAATTCAGTGCTTTAACCCTTTGACTGTCGCAAGCCCCTTTCTGAAACTGTCGTTCTATGTCGCAAAAGTTTTGGGAAAAAAATTATTTTTTCTTATGAAATGATAGAGAATCTTTTCCCGATGGTAGTGACAGCAAAAGTACGAAATTTGGTCGAAAACCCATGGAATTACACTCCCGCGAAGTTTGCGGTCTCAGCGACATATACGCATCGGCAGTTTCGCCATCTTTAGAGCCCTGTTTTTGGCCAATTCTGTTGTTCCAGTTGACCAAACTAATAGCTATTTCTTTAGAACTCCATTTTTTTCTATCAGTTGAGTACAAGAAACCGCCCATTTACCGATTTGAACTACCCAATGAAGTGGTCAGAAATTGGCAATTTGGCCAATTTCACGCAAATTAAAAAGATGCCAATTTCAAAATAGGGTCTAGAATAAACAATGTAGACATTCTTGGCACTAAAATAACATATCCTCTGTTCATTAGTCACGTCTCTAGGTCCCTCTTATATTACTATTGCTTTCTATTTTGATTTTTTATTCATACAAAAAATACAAAATTTACTGTTATGCAGGCTACTGCATTATTGTAAAAATGGTATAAATAATATCAGGGCACTAGTGAAAGAATATTAGACTCCCCAGTTGACGTGTATTGGACATGTGGTGTAATTTGCTTACTCCTGAACATTTCTGCTACTTTGAGCTCAATTTCAGGGTCGTTTTCATCGTGAGAGTAATGAAAATCATCTCTATTTCTGTAATGTGTTTTCCATTTTATCACCTGAGACCATGAAAACGAAAATACATTGATAAATACTATATGAAAATACACCTCAAAGTCGGCGTTTTAATCCCCCCCAAAAAAACGGTCAGTTTTTTTCTCATTATGCACTGCATGCTGCAGGATTTTTTTTATGTGGTGCACACTGACCACACAGACCCATTCTCTTACATGTGGGCCTACCAGCTTTCTCCTGCTTGATTTGAAGCTGCTAGAATTTACGCGTATAAATACGTCAGAAACAGTGGCGCGTAAGACGTATATATACGACGTAAACAGTCAAAGGGTTAAACCAAAAGCACAGTCATTTTTTTTTCCTCATTATGCACTGTGTGCTGCAGGATTTTTTTTTTTTATACTGTGCGCAGTGATCGCACAGACCTATTTCTTCTCTCGCATGTAGGTCTGCTAGATTTGAAGCCACTAGAATTTTGGGGTATTAATACATCACTGACACTGGCTTGTAAGCTGTACCTGTATGTCACCAACAGTGAAAGGGTTAAATTATAGACCAATTAGCCTAACCTCCATTGTGGGAAAATTGATGGAATCGGTAATTGCCTAGGCTATTCGAAGTCATATTGAAAGTTGAATCTCAGCACTGTCTTACAAATGGGCGTTCCTGCCGTATGAATTTACTAACTTTTTTTTCACTAAGGTATTCGAGGAGGTAAAGCATGGTAATGAATGTGTGAATGAACTTCAGTAAAACTTTTGATAGAGTTCCACATCGGAGACTCGAGGAAAGTAGAGGCACATGGAATAGGAGGGGAATTTTTTTTTCCTGGTTAGAGGCATGATTGACAGGCAACAAAGAGTTTAAATAAATGGGAAGAAATCAGAGTGGAGACACGTCACAAGTGGTCTTCCACAGGGGTTGGTGTTGGGCCCTTCTTTGTTCGCAATATACATAAATGAGGGAATAAAGTGATATAAGCAAGTTTACTGATGACACCAAAATAGGCCATTGGATTAATTCTGATAACACTTAAGAGTGCTACAGGAAGATTTGAATAGATTATTACAGTGGTTGGAGAACTGGCAGATGCAGTTTAATGTAGACAAATGCAAAGTTCTAAGCCTAGGAAAACAAAATAAACATGGCACTTATAAACTAAATAATATAGAGATTAATCACTGAATGCAAAAAGGATTTAGGAGTTTTGTTTAGCAGTAATCTAAAGCCAAGACAACATTGTGTAATTATACACAATTCAGTAAATAAAATTCTTGGCTTTATATGAATAAGTATATATAACAGGAGGCTTCAGGTTATACTTTAACTATCATTAGTTAGACCTGATTTAGATTATGCTTCAGTTCTGGTCACCGTATTACAAAATGGACACAAGTATGATGAAAGACGTAGAGGACAACAAAGTTTATCCTATGTATCAGAAATCTTTCCTATGAGGATAGACTGAGGGCACTGAATCTGCTCTAGAAGAGCATAGAATGGGGGGGGGGGGGATATGATCAATGTGTACAAATGGAAAACAGAAATAAAGGGAATGTAAATAACATGCTAAAAGTATTAAACAAGATTCGTGCAATGGGCTGGAATTTGAAAAATTTAAGTTTAGAAAGGTTATAGGAAAGCAGTGGTTTGGTAATGAAGTTGTGGCTGAGTGGAACAAACTCTTGAGTAGTGTCATCGAAGTGAAAACCATGTGTAGCTTAAAATACAGGTTAGACAAGTACATGGATGGGTACGAATTGGACCTGTGTAGCATGGGCCAGTAGGCCTGCTGCAGTGTTGCTTCCTTCTTACGTCAAATGGGACAATGGGTGGCCATCTTGGCTGGAGACCTCTGATAACATGACTACAGCAGTATTGCTAATGGAAGCTAGGGTTAATAATGGTCCCCCTTTTCCAATGTAGAAGCTGGATTTCACAAAAGGAGCAATTTCTCCACTAATAACGCTTGCTCTTCCAGCTTTTTAAGTGGTATGTACTTAGATTAAACCCCAGCACTGTATGACTCTTGTAGGTTTAGTGCTTCTTTTTAATTATAATAATAGATTAAACCCAAGAAGGGGATAAGAGGCTTAATTCCTCAGGGCAAGAGATTGCTAAATTGAAGGGGGAAGGGGGCATCACAGTTGCTTTTCTCTGTAAACCCTTCACTGTTTAACACTTAATTTAAACTAATAGTGCAGATCAATCACGTAACCAATAATAATTTTCTCCATATTCTTTCTTAGCATGTGTCCCCCGAAGAATGTGTTGTGGCACTGAATGAATGTGAGTGGGATGTACATCGTGCCCTTAAGCTAATACGCCTTCAGCTGTTGCTTCCAGCTCACCGTGTACCAATAGAAGCAGCTCGACACACACTAGCCTCTTTTTCATGGGATGTTAGTAAGGCGGCTTCCTACCTTATGGCTACACGTGGGATTAATGAGGACACAGCACAAGTTTGACCTATGAAAAAGAATCTATACAAGCAACATAAAAATATTTAGTAAATGCAATATGTATTTTATGGTATAACTTATTTGATGTGTTACCAAACATTATTAGCAAGTATTCAGGTTTTCTGCTGGTAATAAGACAATGTTACTCTTTTGGTCTTTATAAATAAAATGTCTTTTGCTTAAAAATCTTTATTAGATCAATCTTCTTTATAAACTGAGCAGAAGGGCTAGCCTGTACAGTAGACATTGTTTTGCTGCGTGTCCTAAACTTGATTACTATACAGGTATTTGAGTGGAAAAAGTATTTTATATAGTACAGTACAGAAATAATCTTAAAGAAAAAAAAAATATCTGAATCTAGGTCAATTTTCATTCATACAATTCTGTATATGCTTTAACTATGATATTGCTGAATTTTTCAGTGTATGCCAGCTTGTTCCTAAGTTTTGTAAATACAATATATGCTTTACATATTCAACTACTGATATTTCTTACTACAGGCATGAAAAAAGGATGTAGATTTCTTAATTGTACTGTGTATTAAGGACAAATTAATTGTATTTTGGGGATTACATACATAAAATTTTAAAGTTTTGGTGACATTTCAGAATATGCAACTTTCATTCACACACTGTGGATGATGTGCATATTCTGTGATAAGAAGTAGCTAGACAGTATGTATATGCCATGTTCTATATATTAAGTGTAGAGAAAATAGTTTTTATTTATTACTTTTCTAAATTATGTACATATTTAAACTGAGGAAAGAACGATGGGAGGTGGACATGTAACACTGCATCATGCGAACTTTGAACCTAAATGATAACCATAATAGTGTGTGATGTATTTATATATTACACACTACATACCTATCTTTAGAAGGCATTTTGATCTTCAGTTTTCATAAGCTTCGTGGATATACAAAATTCAGCATAGTATAAGGAGCATCTCATTAGCTCATTTTCTTTTTCCACTGAATGATGTAGCTGTGAGTCAAGTCCAGTACCAAGCAGCTTTCCAGTCTCATTTTGTACTATATTTGTCTTCCAGTTGTATTTTTTGATGTGGGTGAGAATTGGCGCGAGATTACTAATGAGCTTTAAACTTTTTTCTCATTTTGCAACTTACTCATTACATTGTGTCATAATATAGTACATATATACTTACTGCATTCATGGGAGGCAATCAAGTTTCATCCAAGGAATTTTAGGCCAGGTCCAATTCCTTTGATCAAGATCCCCTCACCAGCGTCAAGGAACTTCCCTTGACGGGAGCACAGTATATACATAGTCATCTAAGGAATCAATATTGTCAGTCGCATCACTGCATATTTTCATACTTTTGTATTTTTATATAATGTGATCTGTTTAGATACTGTAGTCCAAGTATGTTTCAGAGTCTGAAATGTCATATATGGAATCATTCTGGACTTTAACTACAGCTACCATCTGACTTACGACTGAGCTTGGTTCCGACCATCCGGCCATAAGTCGAACCTTACTACTGAATATCAACATAACATTGTTGTAATGACTATTTTATTTTAGTATTTCATTTTTTACTTTACTTTTTATGTTGTTAGGACAAACACTGTGTGCAACACAAACAGTTGTTTATTTCCCAGAAATTTGGCATACAAAACACGGTCGTAAGTCGAGTGGTCATATGTCGAGCAGGTCGTAAGTCGAATGGTAGGTGTATTTCTTGGAGCTTATTACACACATTTCAGTTTTATGCGATTTACAAAGATATATTGTAATACGTACATTGAGCCAGTGGCTAAGGTATGGGGTTATGTAACATAATTAGCAGTGCAATATTTGTAAGCCTGTGTAATTTAATATACGAAGTATAAACTTACATTTTTATTTACCGTCTCTTAATTCTGCTACCACAGTTTCATTACCATCAGTAGTACCAAGGACCCCAAACAGCAAGAGTGATGGCGAGAGAGGTACCTCTTTCACACCATGAATGTCTGTATTGCCACTTGTACACAATTACTGTACAATGCTCTCATGCCCAAAACATAGTAATGTGTGAAATATATTTGTCTGATGTGGAATGGCAGTGTTGCAGCAAGTTGTAGATTACAATTTAATTTCATATTTAAGAGAAGTACTAAAACTGTAGGGGGTCATTGTCTTGGGAATGGGAGGCAATTAGGTTTAATTCAAAAATGGGGGAAGACGAGTCTAATCCCCTTGCCAGCATCAAGAAAGAGTGAGTTGTGCCATGTAAGTGGCTAGTTCATGCCCATCCTGTGAGGTGGAAGTGCAACAAGTAGGATTACAATGGGTGTATCAGGCCCCCATTTGATACTGTTTAGTCACTAAAAAGAATTAGTCACTGTATTGAAATAGTCTTAAAAAAAAAATATCTAATTACCATTAAAACAATTCGTCAAATGGGTTGCAATCTTCTCTAAAAAGTTCATTCATCTATTCAATGCAAAATGTGGATCATGGAAAACTATAAGGGCATCCTTTTCTCTCTCTTTAATAAAGGGCTTTGTGGCATTTTAATGCTGCACAAGCAGCACTGTATGACCCTTGTAGGTTTAGAGCTTAGTTATTATAATAATGCTGCATGCAGAAGTTAGGTTATTGCATCTATACTAACAAAAATGTTTGTTCAGGCATGGTTTGAGGGCATTTTGTTTCTCCACTGTATACTCTTTTTGCATCTCCCACAGGGACTGGCTTAAACACCTATGTGAACTATTTCAGGGTGCAAGATTTTAGTTTTGGTGAGATACTCTATAGGGATGCTAGTGGCAGTGGTAACCCTGATGATGCCTTTGGTAAGTGCTGTATTATTTTCAAAAAGAGGTAAGTGCTATAGATAATACTGTGAGCAACTAGTGGGAACTGGTGTACCTGCTTAAAGAGAAAGATTTGAAAGTGCATTTCTTGCAATCTCTGATGGAAGTAGGTTCATGAAACTATTAAAAATAAAATTGCTATATGAAGGCATAAATTTTTGCTCTGCACCCCAAATATGGAAGGCTAAAAAAGTTTTGATAAAACCGACTAGTTAAGGAACAGGTGTCTTTACTAAAAATTCCTTTGTATTGAATGTTTTCAATTAAGCAGCTGTAGTCTTCATAATCATTTTACTGGGCAAGGACAAATACCTAATTATTATAATCATGGAGGAGCGCTAAACCCATAGGATTATATGTGGAGGGGGCGGGGGAATGGAAGGCATTCAGGCTCAATTTGGGGGACTGGAGCACGGATCCAGTTCCCTATATCAAGAGCCCCTCACGAGCATTAAGGAACCTCCCTTGAGGGAAAATGTCCAATAAAACATACCCAGTCTACCGTACTGATAGACTACTGGATATACTAAGAATAAACTAGAGTATGACAGTATTACCTGTAAAGAAAACGAGCTAAAAATCATTATAATCAAAGGAAGCACTAAACTGACAAGGGTCATACAGCAAATGAGCTAAAAGTAGACCACAGTAAAATACAATCGAGTACAAATTAGTAATTTTTCTTACCATTTTTGGTGGAAAGATAAGCTTACAAACATACAGTACAATATTGTGAATCAGTGGAGCTGTAAAGCTCCAGCATTAACATTGCAGATGGTGTGGGTGCCAGCTTTGCCATAGATTTTTCTAGTAATCAAGTTAGCAGAAATACCAAAGCCATCACACTTGCCCCAAATTCTATTCCCATTTGACTTGTTAGCTCCCTAGCAGCAGAGCAAAACTAAACAGAATGAACATTAACACCAATAACTCTCTGTTGAGCATATTTATGCAATGCTACTTCAACCTTTGTATCTTAAGCCATTTTCACACATTTCCTAGGAGTAACTGAAAAACATTTCAGGCTAGCAGCTACACAGTACTTCATAGCATATTGTGTAAGCTTTTCCTTGCTTCTATGATTGTCAGACACTATTTTGCTACACTATACTCGTCCCTCTCATGTCAAAACAAAAGCCTTCAGCTTCTTTACTAATACGGGTTTCTTTAGAGGTCACTGTTAAAAACACTACACTATAAATTTATTAAAAATACAATAAATCCATGGAAAAACGAGATGAATCAGTGATGAGCCTGCAGGTGTAGGCAATAACACTAATGTGGGCAGTCACTGGCTGGCCCCGCTGCCCAAGAACAATGAAAGTGGATGCGTCCAGAATGAACCTCGGATTAAGCAGTCGGTCCATTTTATCAAATGCACGACTGGACTGGATAACTGATGTAATGAATTTGGCCCGCTTCATGGCTATTTGTCCAGCCACATTTTTTGATCCGTTTTAACTGACATCCACTTTATGGGGGTTGTTTTATCAGACTTTTACTGTACTCTGTCGACTTTCAACGAGAGTAAATTATTGCCCTTACATACAGGGCCACTGAGAAACAGAAGCTGATTGTCAGTTTCCTCTCAAGTGAAATGAACTGAATTTAAGGTTCAACTGAATCAAGTCTCCCTTTTAGATTATCAACAGAAGTCTTAGGGGTGATAAGGCCATTATCCAAGTACAGTGGACCCCCGCATAACGATCACCTCCGAATGCGACCAATTATGTAAGTGTATTTATGTAAGTGCGTTTGTACGTGTATGTTTGGGGTTCTGAAATGGACTAATCTACTTCACAATATTCCTTATGGGAACAAATTTGGTCAGTACTGGCACCTGAACATACTTCTGGAGTGAAAAAATATCGTTAACCGGGGGTCCACTGTAATGCACCCATGTGACATTGTTAAAGATAATAATATTGAATCATTTAAGTATTTGCTAGGAGGCAGTGATGGGGATCCCAACTAACAAAAACCAATGCACAAACTAGACTTAAATAACTAGTAACCATAGACACAGCTATAGTGACTTTCAAAAAAGACTATGCAGATCATCTTCACTGCCCCTTGTATAAACTGTTCTCTTTCTATTCCTAGACAGTGTATTAAGGCCCTTCAAGATTTCGCTAAGGATCCCAGCAGAGTTGTCATGACAGGCGATAAATGAGGTGGAACTGTCATAGTAAACTGAGGCAGATGACAAAAAGAGATGGATCTCCTTAATGAAACTGCCATTTGCCAATACATCAGTGCTCAATGTTGTGACATATTCACCAAGAATTTCACATTCAACAGCAGATAAATCTTCAAAAATACTGAGGAAGGCAGGTAATTTCTATGCCTCATTCTAAGCAACCCAAAACCCCCACATATGTATGGCCTACCTAATTCCCACAAACATACTTTTAATCACAGCTTGTAAACACAAATAACCCACACACAGAAGAATGAACCTTATGCCTGATTTGGACCATTAACTAGTCGCACAGAAGTGTGAAGGGAAGGGAGCCAGTATATATACAAGGTAGAGGTGGTGATAGGAGTAGAACGAGAAGTAGTAAAAAAATGGTAATGGTGGAGGTAGAGTCAGTAGTAATAAGTAATGCAACAGTGGCAATAAGGGAGTAGTGGTAGTAACACGAGTCAGTGAGTAGTGTTAGTGAAGCAATAATAGCAGAGGTAGTCTAAGAATACAAGAGAAAGAGATAGAAAAAAGGCACATTACAGGAGAGTTAATGGCCCACAAGGGTGGGATCAAAAACCCAGGGGAAAACACTCAGAGGACTGAACTCACCTAGACAGAAGAAAGGAAAGACAAAGAAAATATAAGAAAGGGAAGGTCAAGTCACTAGACAGAAGAAAGGAAAGACAAAGAAAATATAAGAAAGGGAAGGTCAAGTCACAAGTATTTGGAGCATTTGGCATTAGTATATGAAAAAGGAAGGCATCTACAAAGACAAAGTCATGACCAAGATTCACATTAGAAAAGTTGTGTATGAGGGATGCTCCAACAAGACAGCATTTGTAATTGCTAAAAGGAGGGAAGGCAATTTCGGCAGAGGACCAAATGATAGGATGACTGATCTCTAACATGACAGAAAAGTGCATCATTTTTGTCTAACACTTCTTTTGAGTTCTAAGTCTGTGGCCAGTTTCTCCAAAGTACTGGAGAGGACAAGAGGAGCAGGAAGTGGAGTAGACTCCGAAAGCATCAGTAGCAGGAGGAGAGGTATGAATTAGATTACTACGAAAGGTGTCAGTATGTGCAGGTTATTTGTGTAGTGTTCAGTCATGGTATTGTGCCTTTTTATCCTTTACATCTTATATAGGCAATGCACCATCCAAGTTAAACGGTGTCCAAGCCTAACACCTTTCTGATCTTGTAGGTACTATCAACCATATATGCCTTACACACACTAATGATTTGCTCAATTGCATTAAAATCCTTCTTGCCAGGAATAATAAACACAGCAGTATGAACTTCATCTTCTCGTGAGTCTCCACTATACAGATTAACTTTACATCGAAGTAAACCACAACCCTCACTATACCACTTCCTTCAAATGACTGTTGAAGTATATGAACTTTGTGTCATCTTTTATTTTCAATAACAGCCTCTACCAGCAAATATACAGGTTGAGCATGGGGGTCCCTTATCAGTGCTATCCTAGCAAATCTTAACATAGGACACTTCTAAGCATAACATTTCAGAAACACTATCCCAAACTTCACATGGATGCATATGGATGATCTCACCCCTAATTGCTATGAATTCCACAATCTTAAAATTTCATTCATTCTCTAGAAGAGGATGCCTATGGTAAACTCCCATTCCTCTACTTCCTCGTACACAAAATCAATAATTCGGATTTATAGCCTGCAGAAAACCCAACACCTTAATACCTGTAGTCTTAGAGGAAGAATGTGCCATCATACACCAAACATTTTTAGAGCTTTATTTCCCTACCTTCTTCATTAAAGGTTGAAGAAATGCACCTTCCAAATCCTTAATTCTCCATACAGCAACATCAATTCCTG